ATAAATGAACTTACAGCCTAACACTAAAGATACAATTGTGATACAGGTGGTACTTCAAATACAATCAATGTATTTTGGAAAATGAAACCTATGTGGATTAGAAAAAGTTTTTTTTAAAGACATGAAGTTCTTATATTTATGATTTTGTTTACCTACATATTATTTAAATGAAAAATAAAGGTTTTAATTATTTTTTTGTAATTTAAAATTTGTTATTTTTAGGGACTTATAACTTTTTCTTATTATGGTTGTATTATTATTTAATATGCTAAGTATATTGAATTTAAGTAAACTTATTTTGTTTCAATAATAAAAGAAACAAAGTGTGATGAACAAAATAATTAAATGGCGAAGGAGTGAAGGACTATTAAAATATAACTTATTATTATTTAAAAAATATTATTATCAATATTTATATACTATTCTCAATAATACCTCGCCAAGTAAATAAATTATTGAAACAAAATAAGTTTACTTAAATTGAATATACTTAGCATTATTTTATTCATGATATCACATCTTTATAGTGCTTAAAGATCTTATATTTTTTTTACTTGCCATTTTTACAAGTAGTTTACGGAGGGTTTTTGTTGTGATAATATATTCTACTAATAAAACAAACGTTTCAATTTTATCTAATCTTGCATAATTTGAAATTCCATTAAACTAATAAAGTCGGTTTCCCATATCTAATAGTTTTTTGATACTGCAGAACTAGTGAACTCGGATAAACTAGATTTAGAATCATCAAAATATCAAATCAATATAATATATTATATAGTTTATCAAATTATGCTCAGTAATTAAATTAATATATTTATATGTAGGTACCTACTATGAGTGTTAAATTTTAAAAATATTTTACAGGAACCTATATAATATTATTATTTCTATTATAGTGATTTTTTAAGTGAATTATTTTATAGTTTTGGGGTAGTAATGCATTTTCTTAGTTTTTAGAGTATTAAATTCTCATCACAAGAAACAATTGCACTATAATGATTAATGACTAATGAGTATATAAAAATAAGTACCTACCTACAGTGGAAAATAGAATTATAACTAGGTAGCTTAATTATCGAATATGTAATTAATAATTTTATTGACATTAATAATATTAATGTGCATTCATGCTTGATTAATGAGTTGATTGACGATGGTGGTCAATCGAGTAAGTAGTTACCAGCTATATTATTATGTTTTAAATATTTTCCGTGGTGAATTACAGTCACATTAAAATATTAATTATTTATTCTTACTAAGTAATTGCGATCTGAGTATTTATTTTTTGTTTATTTTTTTTAAAAAATCATCATGTTTTTAAACCGGTTGTTATTTTGATAAAAATTTGTGTAAAAATAATATTTTAAAATGTTGATTGGTGAATATAAAAATTATTAGATTAAGGTTGTATGAGTATAAAATAGACTATCTACAAAGTTTGTGCATACCTATGGATAAACCATAAACGTACCTACTCAAATCTTGTTTTTTAAAATATTATACCATGCAGTGAACGCATTGCATTACAACCTTATATGTATTGGTATTTGGTAGTAAATATTTAGTATTTATGATTAATATATGATTGTTTACTTAGTACTTACATACTGTTACATTGTCACACTGGGTGGTAAATGTGGACGTATATAGAATTTGAAAACCTTAAAGCTATTGTCTATTGTGATTCATGTCTCACGTTTAGAATTAGTCACGTACAGAGTCAAATTATCGGTTTTGAATGTCAAAATCTATGCACCTATGTAAGCATCTACTTAAAAGTCTTAAGATAGGTATGGTATTTGCTGTTTTAGCAGTAGATATTTCAACGTGGTTAACAAAACAACTTTTTTCGTTATATATGTATATAAAAATAATACCTATTCTGGCATGCTGCACTAGGTTAAATTATATTATAATATTATTGTATAGGTATTATAATATATATAATGTTATTAATATCGTTATCACGTTTCATATTTATACATTATACTCATTATTTATTAAAATGTAGTTTTTAAATAAATTTAAATTAGAAAAACAATATTTAATGTAATATGTCGTAATATAATAGGTATTCATATAATTCATATCATGTAAATGCAAATGCAATACTGAATAGACTAAATATGAAAAAAGGCGACGACAGAAACAAAAAAAACACATCATTATAAAATTTAGTATTAATGCATTAATAGCTCCGCTCAGAACCTACAGTTAATTAAAAATTATTTTATAATATAAAAAATACATTTATTTTGGTGCTAGGTCATTACAAAATACTATAAATGATAAGTAGTAGGTACAGGAATAAGAGTTTAATATTCGTCAGAAATGCACTGTACAATATTCGTACGAATTAATAATGTTTAGGACGTTTAGAGGTAGGTACCTACCAATTGGCTATTATAGAAACAATATATAATATATTACATTTTAGATTCTTAATGGAGCGATCTGAGATGAATGCGTATTGATTTTACCATGAGTTTTTTTTGTGTGTCTGCCATGATCATTTGAAGTGGTAAAAATACTTAGATTTTTAATTTCATTATATTTTTCTCGGGAAAGTGAATCTAGTTGGTACTTTCTTAACAATTTAGGAAAGAAAAATTAGGGAAAAAGGGTTATTTACACCCAAAACCAGGGTTCGACCTAATCAATTTTCTTATTTTATTGTAATTGAAAAACAAATAACCGTAGGTAGATACTTGACATGTTCACATTATTTATAATATAGTATTATAAATCTATTTTGTAGTGTAGAAACACTGATATAATTTTCAATTTTAACTTTTTTTAGTTATTTTTCTATAAATGTGGATAAAAAATGTTTCCTTGATAAAAAAGATTGAAAATTTAAGTTCCTCATATTGTATAATTACAAAAGATTAAATATAGGTACATACCTACGCACGATTTTAGTCTTTAAAAACTCTTCATCATACCTAATCTTTGTTTGTATGCAATGATTTATCATTGAATTCAAATTGAACACGTAGGTACTTTACAATTTATAGTGGTTTACTCAATTTTGAGGTACCTACAACACTCGAAAACTAATATATATATATAGGAGAGTGGTTACCTACTTTCCCCCTATTTTTTTTTTGAAACGATTTTTGAATTATTAATTATGTTTTAAATCGCTTATTTTGATTAGGTATAATCGACTAATATTAAGGTATAATTATATAATTAGGTAAGACAGGTAATCTAAAATGTAAACAAATTCCCGAAATGCCTAAAAGTAAATGACTAGGTACATTAAAAAAGTCAGATAAATTATGTATTACAATTAATAAGAAATTGGTAGCAAGTTATGTTTATTACAATAAATTAAACTAATTACTAATAATTATTATAGTCTGGAATAATTATTATTCCAGACTATAATAATGAACTATATGTATGTAGATTGTAGGTACCTATAATCTATATACTTATACTGTTTTTATTTATTAAATTATTAAAAAAATTCCATTTTATTATTCTTTATTTTGAAATCATAGGAGTTATTAGTAAAAGTTCTTTCTATAATATATTCTATCTTAATATAATCGCTTTCAACGCTGCATGTATGTGCTTATACAACTTAAATGAAATATTTTTAATATACTTAGCATGTTTTTTAAATAGTTATATAATTAGTAATTATTAATGACTAATGGGTAACTGTAATTAACTAGGTAAGGGTATGTGGCATATAATATAGGTACAAACTTGTGTCTTGCACTGTATTTTGTGTTTAAATAATATGTTTGAGTGTTTGACTCTAAATGTTGTTCCTGTTCATCAACAGCCTTGATATTGAAAACTCTTCATGACAAACAAGAATGAAATTAGTATTGGGTGAACAACAGATCAATATACCTAATAATAATAAGACTATACTATTATATAACAAATAGGAAATCGGTATAATGTATGAGGTCATTGTTTAATGAGCATGACTATTGACTATTATTGACTGGTGCTATTTTTTGTTGGTGTGATGTGTTTTTAGATAATATGTTCTATAACTTTTTAGATCATAAAAATATCATGTGAAAAATATACCTACTAAAAAAAAAGGCAGAAGAGGATTTTAAAGTCAGAACCTACCCTCTATACTTATTTTCTATAAAATATAAATACGATCGAATATCAAAATAGTATTGGAAGCTTCTTATAATTAGGTACCTACTATTTAGCCTTTATGTCAGAGCGAAAATTAAGTATAATTTAAAGTTACAACTTATAAATTATATGCAAAAAAACAGCAAAATTGTTTAGCTTTAAATTCAACCTAAATCATACTTCTAAATACATTTTGTAGGTAGTAGATCATTCAGTATATTTATGTTTATAATCAATCCAAATTTCAGTTTAACTAATTTGCATTAATTAATTTTACTATATAGATTTGGTATACCTATAAACTTGTATTGCTCAATTTTGTCGATAATTTGTTTCCATTCCATGTCAGTATGTTGGCAAAATATAATAATAATGATAAATAAATAAGTATCATAATAACGTATTAACTCAATACTCATAAACATTAGTTATATAAAGTTATCGTAAAATAATGAAAAAAAAAACAAGACGACATTGAAACCCAGATCGGATATTATAGAGTCATACGAAAAGAGAGAGAAATATAGTCAAATACACTTATAGTTTGCCTGGAAAATGTTAACCTACGTTCCAAGGTTTCATTGTATCGAAAAATGTCTGTAGTCATCCTGCAACCACCATTCATAGCACAGGACACCGAAAAGCCAAACCGTGTAATGTGCGACAAATCGATGTTACATAATTTTTTTCTCCCAGAAGATTTGTTGTGATTTAATCGAGAGCATCCGTTTTTAGTAGTGTGCAAAATCATTACGCCAATAGATAACCGTTCAAGGTCGTCCTTTTATAGGGTTCGGGTACGTATACCAAAGTGAGACGTCCGTCCAGCAGCTCAGTTTGTTCAAGAATTCAGACACCAGAGCACATATCGATACAGAAAAATGAAGATCTCTATGGTAAGTCTATAGTTGAATACTATTAAATATTTAGGTAAAAATATAAAACTCGTAATAATTATTAATGATAAAAATGTGAGGTACACGGTACCTACCTACTCAATAGGTTTTACATATAAATACCATACTATTTATAATGGGTATTGTATACCTACCTACTTGCAGTAATAAGTTCATATAATTCCAATGAGAGTTATATTTTCTTTTTTAATTATTAGTTTTGGACTTAGTTTTATTTGGAAATATAATAGGACGTTTGGACGTAGGTATCTAAGTAATAAATATTCTATTGAATTATTTAGTTACCTATGTATAATTTAGTCAATAGATAATCTAACCTACATATTGACTATTGAGAATACAAATTAGATCTAAAACTCAACTCTGAATAATGACATGCATTTGTTGATTACCTATTTCGTTAATTAAAGTAAATTCAGTAAAAAATAAATAATACTAGAATATAACGTTTAAGAAATAATTGAAAAATATACCTATAGATACGTATAATGTAATATTTATAGGTAAATAGGTATTATATTTTACTACATTATTTTGCTATTTTAGACATTCATAAACATCCAATAGATAATAAACTTCAAATTGATAATATAAATCACTATGCATGTTTATTGTTTATATTTAATATATTATCATCATTTATTATCTTTTTTATGCATTTAAAAAGTATATCGGCTTTACTAGGTTTTTTGAAAACCATTAAAATAAGATTGTTAAACAGTTGAACATTTCTATTTTACTATACAACTAACTATTTAAATATAGGTACATTCCTTTCGATTTTAACTGAATAAAAAATCAACAGTCCGCCTTTTTAAATGGCGTATTATTATACGTATTATTATACAAATTGAAAAACAAACATTTTAACTGTTGTAAAATGTTTGTTTTAAATTTTTAAAATCAGTAAATATATAGGTAGGTAGGTAGGTATTTAAATTAATTCATACCATTTTCAATTATATTTAATGATTTAATAATAATATTAATTATATTAATTTCTGGTTTATGAAGTGTACAGTGTACACACTTGCTTTTTGTTGAAGGGCACCTTCTTACCAAGTCCACGGCATTGCCGAGTATAGTCACACCAACTTTGAATCTGAGTTTAATTTAAAAAATGCTAAACTAGTTCATACTTTCATAGGAATTTGGTATGGATAAATTAATGTGATAAAAGTATGAACTATTTTTAATTCCGAAAAAATGTAAATGTACCTATAGGTATAGTTAACTTATTAAAACAAATTATATTAAATGTCCATTATTCATTATGTCTATCATACCCTATATAGTTTTATAATGATTTAAATATTATGGTTAGTGAATTTCGTATTGTTTTTGGTTTGATTATTGAAATAATACAAATAATTGCTATCACACACAAAGTTACCGGTAATGATTAATGATTACTGATATTATTAACATGGAATAGTTATTGATATATTATTATTATTTGGTATTATGTAGGCATTTATGTTTGTAAATTTATAAATTAAAACTGATCACATTGCGTACCTACCTATGTTTTTAATAAATAAATATAGTAATTTTACGATTTACAGCAATAGAATTAAAGATTAATAATACGTGTTTATAAATAAATTACATTATAATATTATAACAGTTTAATTTGATAAGTACGACTATAATATAGTCACTACTCACTACTAAGTCGAAGTTGACGTCCTTCACCGTAAAAAGCACGTACGGAGATATGTCGGACTTTGTCGTTAAAAAAAAAAAATAAAAAAAAAACTGGTCATTTTCAATATTCACAAATATTTCGAGGTTTGTCAATTTATTTTACGTTTGTATATTATGTCTAAGAAAGCTGCAGGTAGTAGTTTCTGCAGCAGAGGTCATACTAATATGCATATTTACGTTAAAAGTAAATCCATCAAACAATTTTGTTAGTTTTAAATGTTGCCTAATTTATTTTGACTGGTAGATATCGACATATCTAAGTATCTATGTATCGTACAAATAAAGTTAAACTGCAGTAGGTAGATACTAGTCATACTAACTACCAATATAAATTTTTAACGTGTATTATATTATAATAATGTAATCGTAAATTATAAATAGAAAAAAAAAACAATTACAATTTCTAAATATGACGAGTGAATCGACAAGTATCAAATATTCAAATGTAATGTTTAATGTTCATGTTATTAAATGAATATTAATGCACCTATCTATATTGTTTATAATACACACAGATTATATTCTGCGAAATTCAGATATAATAGGCGTGATGCCCACTTATAACTTATAAGTGTATAATATTATTATACAAGTATATGAGAATGTATAATTTATACTTTAGTTTGACTTTCAAGGGCCCACTAAACCTAAACATGTATAGTATTTTTATTATACCCTTACGGATGTACAATTTGTGGTGATAGATCGACATTTATTTGAAAATGTTTAAATGTTAATATATTAGCCTGACATTGATACCATTAGTTATAAATTTTAATTAGTATTTAATGTCTTTATTTTTGGAGGATGGATAGTATTTTAGTACAATATAATTACTGTAGGTTCATAGAAGAGAACGAAAATCATTCTATATTTCCATATAATATAATATATTATTATAATACCTACCGTGTAAACATTTCGCTTACCGCTCCACCGCTCCCACTTCCTCAAATTACAGCAGCTACGTATAAGGTAAAAAAATATTTCCAAAGCAGAATGTTTAATATAGTTTTACGTGTTACTGTTATACTAAACAAATTGGTTTGTAGCCTTGTATAGGTATTATAATAATTAATAATAGCATTTAGTTTAATTTTAGATAATATTTGAAGGGGTTAGTGGATGAAGATGGTATCCACTACAACTAATGATCAATAAAATTCTTCTTATAACACATAGGTAACCATAACTAATATTGGTAACCACTAAGTAAACCCTTATCAAATTGTGATATATTTTTATTTTCTAGCAATAAAATTAATTTTTGAAAAAATGTCAGTTAACACCTTCATCCACTATTAACCCCTTCAATTATATTTAACAAATCCCAAAATCTCCAAACTTAGCTGATAATATTTTGTGGTTTTAATTTCATTAAGTCTCGTGATGTCACACCTAAAAATAAGACGTAACTGTCAGTACTAATCCTACAGACGCAGTGCCACAAACATAAAAAAAAATTCTGAGGAAGTGGCCACTTGGTTATTTATTTATATATTCTATAACATTCATAATAATAATAATATGATCGTTCAATATATTATATTTTATTATTAATTAGGTATTATATATTATATTCGATGCATATTGCAAATATTATTTAGGTTAGAGTGTACATATTTTTTTTTATATTTTATCTATAATATATTATATAATAACAAATAATACAATTTAATTTAAAATTGTATAGTCTCTCGTAATAACTATATTACCATAATGATGTATGGTGTTTGCAGTGTTTGACTATTTTCGTCGCGTCGGCCGTACTAGTGGCCCACGACTGTCGGGCCGCACCCGCTCCGCCTCCGTTCACCGACGAGAAGGCAGACCGCGAGAGTCTTGACGTCAACGAAGTGGGACCGGCCGAGGAGGACTGGAAGCTGTACACCCGGTTGACCAAGACCATGTCGCACGATCCGTCGGACGCTGACAAGACTCGCGAGCTGCTGAAGGAGATCGAAGAGTACTCTCGGCTGGTCACGCCCGCCGAAGCGCTGACCACGACCGACGTCCCCGCCGACGCCACTACGGACCTGCCGGACTCGGCGGACTCGGCGGACGTCACCGAAACGGATCAAGCGTCGTCCGACTGGTTCGCCTCGACGTGGAGGAACATGAACCGGAACGACGACGACGACGATGGGCCTCGAATGGGCAGGCAAGACGACGGCAACGTGGAAGACATCATCAGAAAGATTTCCAACGACTTGAAGAAACTGTACGTCAAGATCAAGCAAGTGATTACGGTGGTGAAAAACTGGTACGCATTATGGAACGTTGCTAATACGGTGTTCGTCGCAGTGGGATGAATTAATTATTTAACACATTAACACGTCCTCTGATACAGGTCAATAATACATCAATACCTATAGGCTAATAGTATATTATAATACTTACCTGCATACTATAGGTATTAATGTATTATGCATGTGCCCATTGCCCTTGTCTTAACATACATTGTTATTAAACATTCATAAATCATTAATATCAATATTGAAGATAATAATATTAATAACCACGGTTAACAAAGACGTCACTGTCTCTGCTGGTAATTTTTGTGTAACTCCAGCATCGACTCGTCCATTTCTCACATAGTCACATTGACGATGATGGTAGTGGGGTTGCCGGAGAGGGGTGTCTTGCAAGGTGTTGATACAACTACCCCCCTCCCTGTCCAGGTCTCATGTATGCGAAAAATAAATATAGTATATTATGATTCAGATTTCTTGAAAGCATTTTGTCATATTATTTATCTATTTCATATTTGATATTATTTATAAGAGGATTGATGACTAGGTACAATGGAAGGTGTGTAAAGCCCCCCCCCACATGTTGTATTTAAACATAAAACACCCCCTTAACTGCTTCTACTATGGCACGTTTAACCAGTAGCCGGCAGCCGCATCCTGCAGATATTTCCTGAGGGGTCCATAATAAATAGATAATATACATAAATACATAATGCATACCTAGTTTTGTACTATTGTACCTCTATATATTATTATTATGATTTGCATTGGTAGGTACTCGAATAAAATGTATTTGAATAGTTTATGTTAATATGTTATCTACACCTATAGGCTATACTTAAATACCAGTCAAAGTGGGTAGGGTGAGGACGTGAGGTGCTCTATCAAACCTACCCACCGATCATATTGTGTACGCATATTGTACTTCTATGATATTATAAATTTTGTATTCCAATGTATTGTTCAATTTTATCCCTGATAACAAAGATGGACAAAAGTAACTTGTTGAAAGTTTGTAATGTAACATCATCCAGCACGTTCCTTCATTTTATAATAATTCCCCCGTATAGTTAATATTATATAAACGATTAAACTGCATATCGTACATTCGCATATACCTAATAATAAAATAGATATAGGTAGCTACAAGTGATACATGCGAATTTCTGTGTGAACGTTACGAAATGTTTAAAAATATGAAACCATCACATTATTATAAGGCCATAAGGGTCATACATTCTCACATACCTTCTGGCTTCTGCCATAGAATGTTCTATACTTTAACGTTTCACTAGGTGATCAATTGTATTATAGGTACTTATGTGATTATTATTGGTTAGAACAGTAAACTTTGTAGAAAATGTATACAATCTATATATAGTATAAAGTTATATTATAAACAATAAAATCATATAATATTTGAAACAGCTCTTAGTAAACATAAAAATATGAATTTCTGGTTTAGAAAACTTAGGTATTAATAACTTAGAATTTATCTGTTATAACTTATAATTCTATATTGTAATAATATATATTTTTTTATTTTTAAATATTTCTGTATAATATTATAAAAAAGACTTAACTAACTACTACTTAGCACCGGACCCTTTGTTTATCTATTTCAAATAAATTGTCTAAATAAATACTTAGAAGTGTAATAATATTCTTACCTGCTAATACTTAGTACCGTCGTACCGACAGAACTCACTCACCAAGTATGTAAACTATAGAGAAATGATTAATTTTAAACCAGTGATTTTATAATAGGTATATGACAATATTTAATTATACAATCCAAGATTAAAATAATATAAAGAAGTAGATACCTACCTATATTATACCTATTTATTAAAGAAATCAAACAAGTTAATATATTTATAGTTGTATTACTTATTTATTTATTATTGTATTAACTAATATTCATATAGGCGTAGTGAGTAACTAGACCTTAAAATCAGGGGGGCTTCAGCCCCAGCATTTTTTTAATACCTAAGTAAATTATAAATAAATTGTATAAGATTTTTAAGAAATTCTTGAGGTGGGGGGTGGCTGAAGCCCATCCAAGCCTCCCCCCATCCTAGTTACGCCTATATGCTATACATATTTACATATTTTCACTATATCAACTCCACAAGCACTACAAGCATAATTTTATTACGTAACTGTTTATTTCTATTATTGTATTCTAGTAACATTCTAGTAGCATTTATAGCTGACAAATAATAAGATTTATTTCTTACTGTATTCTAATTACATATTAGATATTAACATATTTTCTATATTATGAAAACTTGTACAATGATTGATTATTTTTCTTATTGAAACAAAAATAATAATTTATTGTATATAAAAACAAGATAGGTACCTATTAAGCATTAATATTTACTAATTGCTAATTATATTTCATTTTAAATATTGATATTTATTGGTAATTTCAAATCCAGTCTTAATCTTAAATATAGGCTTTAAGTGTTAAAGATTGTTATCTGTAGGAACTAGGTACTAAATCTGTATTGTAGATTATGGATTGTGAGTATACCTCAGTGTCATCACTATTTAACCAATTAACCATCGTAGGTCATCATATTGTTTTTATACTTCTTAATCTTTTACTTTTCATATATATTTTGATCTTTCATCATCTTGCCTATACCTATATATTTATTTAATGACTACAGGTACCAATAGAATTGTATCTGTTTCACTCATTTCAAATAATTAAATTTGATATTGTTTTATTTGATAATTCATAATATTATTCTATTTTATGTAATTTTATTTCTACTCTCATAATGTGTAATGTGTACCTAACCTAATGTTTATGTTTCACCATCTCTCTCACTCGGGTGATGACAAAATAGATTTATTTTATCATAATATTTATGTGTACCTATTTAGAAATAAAAAAATCATGGTAACTTAAATTACCTTCCCAACGATAACATTTATTTTTGTTCATTTTAATTTGTCATACCTATTCATAATTAATAATTCATAACTAGTCATAAATAATCACATATTTTAACGCTTCATTGGATCCCTGTATTTTAAAATTGTTATGAAACAAAATGTTTTTGCAGGGTCAACCACGCTAAGGGTTCAACAAGTGAATTTGATGGATACCCAATGTCTGCAAGTGCTTCTGAATCGGATGGAGTTTTTGTAATTCCCGATCCTCTAATTGGGGATATAGATAAGTCTAATAAATACATATTGCCCATAAATGAGGATTAAACTATAAATATTAATTTCCGATTAAACTCATATGGCTTATTGAAATCGCACATCAACCTAAAATCGGTAATTTAAATTATATTATTTAAGTTTATTTTATTTAGTTAAATTATATATTGTTCCTTTATTGTATCATTTAATTATTCTGTACTTACATGATGATATTTTTCAATATAAAATTAAAATACAATTATTATATTATATATTTTTAATATAGCAGTGTGAACACTTATTATGGCAATGCTTGTCAGTTGTTGCTGCCTAAGGGCTAAGACTCAACAAGTAACAACTGAAACAGTTGCACTTAATATTATTATTTTCCTTTTACCATTACTTAAATAAATAATAAAATAAACATTACTTCCTACAGTTGATACAAACTATGTTAATGATGTACACAGATAAGTTACAATATATTAAAACATATTATATTGAATTACTTACTTACGACTTATGAGTTTCTATTATATATAGCATATTATGTCATCGTATTTCCACCCACACACTAAGTATTTTTAATCAATGGTCCTACCTATTTCCTATAGGCCAGTGGTTCTTAACCTGTGGTCCTCGGACCTCGGCCCCCCTGGGGGTCCGTGATACTCATGTCGGGGGTCCGCAGCAGCCTTAACACATAACATACGCCAATAAGTGACATGAATGCATTATTAAAATATTGTTGGATTATTATTTTTTTTTCAAATATAACAGGTATGTAGATTCTACATCAATTAATAATTGTATTATTAATATTTATTAAGTAATCAGTTTTTCTTTTTCATGCGAAATTTACATGCGTACAGCACTGTGTCTCGGCAGTCTTATATTTACTGCCATTAAGTGCAGATAATTTATCGTATACTCAATTATGGTTTTATATATTACAATTTTATAAAAAATTAATTGTAATATAATAATTATAAATGTGTATGTGTTGTTAAGGGCCGTTCTTACAATGTCCGGTTAAAGTTAACCGACACTTAACCGGCCGATTTCTGCCGGTAATAAAATCTGTTATCAGTCGGTTAGCGTTAACCGACACTTTACCGGACATGGTAAGAACGGCCCTAAGTCTACTTATGTAATTTGTTTTATAAAATAATTATTATAATTTTGGTTATGATAACATGACATGTTTTGTGAAAAAAAAAGGTGTTCGAAAAAAGTATGGTAATTGGGTCCGCGATTTCTAGAAATCTTTTATCAGGGGTCCGTGATCTACAAAAGGTTAAGAACCGCTGCTATAGGCTATAATGTATAACTATGATGGATAAGGAAACCAAATTCTTACGGCCACCTGCATGAAAAATGTACTGAAATGAGTCCCACGATTAAACGACCACAGGCTGCGGTGAGTACGATAGGGTTCCTACTTTAACCCGTCTAGTAGATATAGGAATTATTCATGTATTTGTATGCATTGTTTTGAACCATGATCTTCTTTAGATCTTATAGTTTGTATGATTACGCGTTTATACTTGTGCATAATATTATTATGTGCATAATAAATATTATTTTTATTTTCGTTTAAATAATTAAACTATCAATCCATTATATTATCTAGTTATTTTAAACCCATTTATCGTTGTTCATAGCAAGTCTGAGCCCGATACACCACACACATGTGTTTTCTTGAACGATCGTTTTATACCGATATGTGTATCGTTACACTCAAACTTGTTTCTTAAGAAAAACATGTTTATGAAATACCTATACACTTATGTCTTATGCACATGCATAAATGCGTAATCGTACAATCTATACAATCTAAAGTGGCTCATGGTTCAAAATAATGCATACATTTTATAAAAAATGTAAAAAAACATGAATAATCCCTACGCCGGTTAAAGTAGTAACCCTAGAGTAGGTACTCATTTCGCGGGAAGTTATCAGAAGTGGAGTTTGGTATCCTTATTATTCTAGTCTTCATGGTACCTACTTATCACAATGACCTCACAATACAACCACTGTGATATTATGTATAATATAACAAATTACCTATAAAAATTGTCTTGTGGGTAATAGGTAAAATGTATGACATCCCCCCACCTACACTCCTAAACATGACCAAATAAATTACCTCACTAAACAAATAAATTACTATAGTGTATATTGTGTAGTTTTCACACATTGGTAGTTGGTGCTCGAACATATTTTAAAAATATATTTATAAACGTGTAATTTCGTGAACAATTATATATAACTTAAAATGTTATACTCAAAACGTGTACAGAACAATATGAATTATTTAAAAATTAATAAATTCAACGTTTGATAAAAATATAATACAAGCAATATCAGTTATATAGGATACCGAACGAACGTGTTATAAGTGAAGCCCAAACCTTTTCATTTTTGGCATGACAGTTAGCGCTTCAATAGGATTGTTCTGTGTTAACCAGGAGAAGCGCTTAGTTAACCGCTAGCTGTCATGCCAAACAGGGAGAAGAGGGTGGGCTCAGAAGAACATCGATTAGACCTTTCCTTTCCATATCCTGTATAAAATCTTAATTCGTGGTTATACCATTGACAAGAATACTGCTAATACTCAATTTACTGTTTTTCACGGCGCAGATAGGCAAAATAATGTGCATAATATGTCTTACGGCGAGAACTTCATGTGACTATACAATTTATCCAGTACTTGTTATTGGTTAAATTTTTTGGAGCTTGAATACTAATTTTAATTTGTTAGCATCTTTACACCAGAGGAAATGGATTTTAGGTTTCCGAATTATTTTAGATTCTGAGCGGAGCGAGGAAGCTAGTGGTTTTACAACGGTGTATTTTTTTGTATCCTGTATACAAAATTTCCACCGGAAGGAGTACTTCAATTTTTACATATAGTACCTTATCTTTTAGAAAATTGGATCAAGATGGTACTTTAGAAAGGTAATTTTTCGATTTTATCAATAGTTATTTAATGCCACGGGAAAAACCACCGAAAATTCACGAAAAAACCTCTAAAAATGGGATTTTAATTTCTAACGCTTTGTTTATCACCCTAGAAACGAATAAAAAATAATAATATTATAATATTAATTCACCTTACATGATACCTATAATAAATAATAACAATATAAAATATCTAGACTGACAAACCGTCTCCGCTCAGAATCGTTTTTCTATAATGACATTATATCATTGAATTCAATTTTAATACAATTCATTATACAATGACCCAATTGTAACCTATTGTACAGCAGAGCAGGGTAGTAATTAAAGGGTGGATGAGGGGGATAGATCCCCCTCAGAGCCTCCATAATATTATATATTATATTATATGTATACTCACCAATGTACTTAAAAATTTAATATTTTGTGTGTTGAAAAAATGTATATCCCCCCCCCCCCCCCAGGACAAATTCCTACTTACGCCACTGCAGTGAGCAGAGCGACATCCACTTACCGCTATATTTTTACTTTTATATTAAAATGTTACTTTGAGCGATGACTAACTGTTACAACTTACAAGTAAGATATTATTATATACAAACACCCAGAGCAATATACGACCAATAATACTATAATAATTACGTACCTACATATTATTATATTATGTTTAATTGGTCGTACGTAAGAATCAGCGGCGTCGGCCACCACTCCCTTTCATTGACCGGAGTTTTAATTAGTTTGTTGTGTCAAAATTGTCTTGCACAACTTATTTTTGTAGTTTTAGACCAACAAGCGGAAGATTGGTTTATGTACTAAACGATGTCCGATTATTACTTTAAAAATACGTATGAACTCATAATCTCCTTTTCTAGGTTATGTAGGAAACAGATTTATGATTTTTGTATTAATTAAGGCTTAAAAAATATGTTTATTTATTAAAAAATTATGAAAGTATTTTTATTTTATACACTTACATTCAGTTTTAAAACATCAATTATTTTACCTACATGACCTAATGAAAAAGTTATCAATTACAGAAATATTTTCAAAATTTAAATCGGGTCATGGGAAGTATCTAAATAAATCTTTCTCTTATAGCTATTTTGTTCCGATTTTAATAATGGAAAAATATCAAAAATTCAATTTGGTGACTTGTGCATGCACGTGCTTGGGTAAGGCTTTTCTTAGAATTGTAGACGACATGTTACCACGATTGTCAAGGACACACACTAATCAACTAATGTTCATTCTCTACTTAAAAAAAGACACCGTTAAAATGTACATGTAATATAGATTGCCTAAATATTACTCCTTAAAATATGCTATACTCCAACTCCCTTCTTACATATTACACTAAAACAATATAATAATAATAATATTGAAAAAGCTAAAAAAACATGTGTTTAAGGCTATTTCGATGTTCCATGCTTCTATATACAAATTATAGAGCTCAAATGTATACTCAGTCTTTATCTGAACTTCGTCAGAGTAGGTTGTGTTTCGTTACGTTACCGGTTTTAGTTTTCTTGATTAAATTTATTGACATCGTAATACGATTATAATGGTGTATAAGTGCGTTAAATGTCTTGAGACGTCTTCACACAAAGAAGATTTTCTCGAATGTTCTATGTGTAAAAATATATTACATTTCTATTGTACAGGCTATACCGAACAAAGTTTTAAAAAAATGTCAAATAATACAAAATCGAGATATTTATGTACTGACTGTAAAACACATAATATACAAAAATCTCCAAAATCTCATACAAATGAAATTACAGTTAATACAGAAAACTCAATGGAAAAAAAAATCGAGGAACTTATTAAGTCAGTATCCTTTATGAGTTCACAATTTGATAATTTTAATAATAAAATTGACAATATCGCGAGTGAATTGAAAATGATTAAACAAGTAAATGAAAAAATAATAGCAGAAAATAATCGACTAACAGATGAAGTTTCCGTACTGAAAAATAAAATCGACGAAATTGAACAATACAATCTAGGAATATTAGTGGACGTAATGGGTATACCTAAAACTATTAATGAAGATTGTATTTCCATAATAGAAGAAATCGGTAAAAAAACTAATACTGAATTAAAAG